CCTACTTGGTGGCTTGCCTAAAGCTTAAAGAGTGGAACATTTTAGGAGGATGGAACCTGCTTAGTGTCCTTGTAATTATATTTTTACTTTTTTTTGTATAGAAAGGAAAGGGATAGGGCAAGGGAAGAACATACAAGTGCAGTTAACAAGATGTTCAAGCTTCAACTGGAAGATAAAAAAAAAAAAAAAACACATGCTACATGGGAAATAAAAATTAAATGGTCAATATAAATCCCTCTGTCAGTAATATCATTAAACATGAATGGGTTAAACAGTACAATCAAAAGGCAGAGACTGTCAGAAGGGAGAGAGGAATAAGAATCAACCACTTTACCTTCAAAGATGTGAACTGGTTGAAAGTAAAAAGATGGAAAAAATCATGGAAACAGCAACCATAAGAAAGTGAAAGAGACCATACTAATATGAAACAGACTGAATTAAAAAAATTTAGGGCCAGGGATATAGCTCAGTGGTACCATTGCCTGCCTTGCAAGTGCAAGGTCCTGAGTTCGATCCCTGGTACAAAAAAAACAAAAAACAAAAAAGAAAACAAAACAAAACAAAAAGTCCCACAAAAAATGTAACTAGAGATAAAGAGGGGCACTTTATAAAGATAAAGGGTAAACCCAACAGGATGATGAAGTGATTGCATACAAACAACAGAGCCCTAAGAAAGTTGAAGGGGCTCTGAGATTTCCATACCCTGTAGTCAATAATATACAGGATAGCAGGGCAAAGATCAACAAGAAATAGAGGATGTGAACAACATTTTAAGCCAACTACACCTACAAGATAACCATAAATATTTCCCAGCAATAGCAGGACACACATCCTTCTCAAGGCGTATGAAATGTTCTCCAGAACAGACCATGTGTGAGACCATAAAATGAGCCTTAATACATTTAAAAGGATTAAAGTCATTCAGAGTGTGGTCTCTGGTTACAGAGTGGTGGCAGGGACAGCCAAAGTGGATCAGAGAGCAGAGTTGGAGTAGGAGGAGCGGGGCCAAGGAGCAGAGCACAGGGAGGAGTGGATGAGCAGGCAACACAGGGAATGCCAGGGCTAGAAGTTCACAGCTCAGAGTCTAAAAGCAACCTTATGTGAATGAAGACCGAGGCATTACCAGCACTGCTGTCTGGCCGGTGAGTGAGCTGCACGATGGGGCTAAGTTCAGCCCAAATCCCTGCCTGCTGCTCCTGCATGTGACACCGGAGGTCCCTGGCTTCTCTGCAGGAGCACCATGGACTCGTCCCAGCAGAACGTCTGAAGGAACTGGTCTCAGAGCCTCCAAGATGGGATCTGCTGCATGCTTAGCCTCGGCGTTACCTAAAGAGGATGCCCAGGAGACCCAGGAGTGTGGCCAGGTGACACTTATATAGGGTCGGGTCTAGGAAACAATGTACTTTAGGTAGGAATGAGGAATAATGCATCATTTTTCATCTATAAGGGTAACAATCTACTGATGGATGTTCCCACCTTCCACTTTCGGAGGGAGATGTTAATGCCATCCTGCTCCTAGCACACCTGCGCGTGTGAAAGAGAACACCCTTCTCAGCATGCACCCGGCTTTCTAAGGGAGCCCAAGATTCCTTTACGGCTGCCCTTTTCAATGTGGGCCCCCTTCAGATCATATTCCATTAAGATGATACATGTTTTCCTTCACTGGAGCACCATAGAGCTCTTTTCCCCCTTGACCTTTTGTTTTATGCTGTAGAGTAAAGTGCAACATGGAGTTACGACTGAAATTTACAAAGGCTGGGATGCCAAAGCCGAGGCCTTGAGTTGGCCAGGAGTCTGCAAACCTTGGTCCAGCAACAGCTCAGGACGCAATCTGAAGTGTTTTGAATGTCAGCAGAAAGGTGACTCCCTCCGTTCTGTTTTCATTTTCCTCCCCCTGCCCTGGTTCCCTTTTCCACTGGTATCTTTTATAGTCTCCAGTCCCTTCCTGGTGGCAGCCTCGCCAGTGTGGAGGTGTGGTCCCACCTCTCCCCAGGAAAGCTTCTGCTGCATACTGTGCAGCTGCATTTGCTGCCCGTTCAGTTGCTCTCTCTTCTTGCTTTCCGTGGTGCCCTGGCAGCCCACACCCAGCCTTCTCACTGACTCTTGCCTGGCTGTGCACTCTGCCCACATGGATCTACCATGCTCTCTCTGGACAAGGAACCTGGTCACACAGCCAGGCTGGAAGTTCTGTGCCTTGAGTCTCCCTTACGTGTGGTCACTTCACAGGCCCTCCATGAAGCCACTGGCGCTCTGCGAATGTGTGCCCATGATGGCTGCAGGCTATCCAAAGGGGCCTGGGTGTCCTAACCCTTAATGCCATCAGGAGGGGCGAGAACAGTGAACACCCTCTGCCAACAAATTCGTGCATTGCGGAAATGTGGAAAGGCCTCCACACCTCGAGCCTCCTCCCCATGTAAGTGCTTTAGCACTGAGGAAAACGAGTCCCCCGATGTAGAGACCTATTGAGCATCTACGTCGAAGGTGCTCCTGTGGCCCTTCCAGAGAATAAACAAATGCCAAGGAAGCCTTACGGCAGAAGTACAGAAGTACACTGTAGGTCACTCCACTTCCTGCGTCTTTAAATGGAGCCTCTAACAGCTGACATCCGGGGATTCCAATTGTGGGCGGGAACTCCTAGCCCCTGCGGTGCCCCGAGTCCACATCTGCAAGCTCTGTGTCCTCCAGCAAGCAGCAGCTGCAAATCCCTCTCTGGAGCCCAAGCCTCCAGCTCTCTACTGACTCGCCTCTTCCTGCCCTTCACAAGTGTACTCCTGGAACAGGGCTCCCTGGCCTAAAACCTTGTCCCCGGCGGCCTGGTTTCTGTCCTCAGCTCCTCCCAGAAGCTCATCACCTCCTTGTCCGGTGACACTTATAACCCCTCCCGATTCCCTTAGCTCCGCTCCCTGTCTGTCCTGCTCAGGTTCACAGCAGGCTCCTCTCCTTCAACGCTGCCCTTTTGCTCTTTCTTCTCCTTCAGCCAGGAACTTTCACGTCACTGGGTGAGAATATGATTCCCAAATTGTTACCCTTAAAATGGCTAAGACTTGAAGATGAACTGTTGCACTCTTGCCTTTTGTATTATCGGGGAACGAAGCGGAGCTGCATGTTAGAAACAAAATCCATGGTCTGAGGCATTCACGGTAGGAAATCAGGCAGATGTGTGGGGGCCTCTCTAATAGTGAAAAGTGAAGAACAAGAATAATTAGCAATAATAACATCCCCTTCTCCCCCAAACACACATAAACCTCAACGTATTCCAATGTGGCAATCTAATTTTTAAAAACAGTAGCTGCTGGGCTTTCTTGACCTTGCTGAGAAATCAAACCCTCCCATATTCTGCATTGACAGGTGAGCCCGGGTAGGGCCCACCCGGGGAATTCGCACACCCTCTTTTTGTTTCAACGCCACTACACTGCTAACGCCGAGAGAGTCTCCACTTATAGAAAGGTGGTGTGTTTTCCCACTACTAACTGAGCACAAGATACTTCTACATTTAGACATTTGCAAAAGAGAAAGGAAAGGAAAAAAAAAAGAATGACAAAATCGACTTGGATAAAAAAGTAAGAACTTGCTAGTTTGTCTGCACACGTGCGATGGAACCTGGGAGGTCAGAGCGCCACGGTGCACACCCTTCCCGAGCACGGGCTCCCGTTCAACGGATGACAGCGGGAGCCACGCTCCGGGCTGTCCCGTGGCTCGAGTCCTCCATAGCCCCCGCTGCTCTCCTGTGGTTGTGGCGTTCAGGGTCCCGTGTCAGGCAGAGACGAAATACCGCAGAGTATCAGGCGCTCCTTACCCGGCCAATGCCGTATGAAATGGATTTTTAGAATGATCTTTATGAAAATTGGTTAAAATGGAAAAGAGAGATAAGCTGCTGCTTTTCTGCAAATTTCCCTTATCTGAAAGATGTCGGCCCCACCATACAGGATGAGTGACTCCAGCTGATGGATGGGTCGAAATGAAACAGAAATTGGGGTTCGAACACTGGGTAGGGTTATTTCTGGCTTGACTCCTACATTTATTTTCCCTTCTGTTGATGCGTTTCACTGATTAATTTAGTAACCTGAGTAAGGCAGGACACATCTTTCTCAATGAATAATTTTCTTTATGGAAAATTCATTTGAGTTTTGATCCAGGACCGTGATTCTGACCATGACGATACCACCCACTTCTGTTCTTTATTTGCTCTCTGGAAAATCCAATCCTTGGCAATAGAAAAAGAGAAGTCTTCCTTAGAGACTTCGTTTTATTTCTATGTGACCTGTAGAAAAGCTATTATCTGAAAAAAGGCAACAACCAGAAGGGGATCTTTGACAGGGAAATGTTTAAAGAGAAAGTGAGCTTTAAGAGTCTGAAATATTTTAAAATCTTTGGTTATACGAACAAATGTGAAGCAGGGAACATTAATACAGATAGCTGTTCTGAGATCAAAATATCATTCTCAAAGAAAATTTCCTTCTGGGGTAAGAGGTCTTTTTAATTGCAGGTCTTCAGCAGCCAAGGTAACTAGAACACAATAAATGCTCAATAAACCCCTTCTTTACCAGCACAAATGAAGGACGGCGTTCAAACCTTGTACTTCATGTCAGAAAGCCAGACTCTCAAGTATTTCCATGGGGTAATAATTGGTCACAGAAACATATTGATATACGGTAAGGCTTGCTGAGAACTGTGCGTTGTTAAGTTGCGATTTGTGAACTGTGGCCTCGAAAGCATAGCTCAGGGCCGCTAGCCTTACAGAGTGCTTTCACCTCTAGCATGCAGCTGCCCTGCCCCAAGGGGGCCCTCTGCTGTGCGCAGAATCAGCAGGGTAGTCATCCAGATGTAGTAGTTTCTCATGTACCCGTGGGTGGATTCAGGACAATTGCTGTGACTTTAGAGCATCACAAAAGCCACTGTATTCTTGTTGTTGTTGCTGTTGTTACTGAAAGTGAGGCTAATCCTGCATCTTTTGCATTTCTTAATGCCAGAATTCCTCCACTGAAACTAAGTTTGCCGTGAGTTAGGAAATGAATAATTTTGGAAAGAGCTCCGGTTTGGAGTTCAAAAGGCCCAAGTCAAAACCCTGCTTCCCCTTTATGACTCGTGTGACCCTGGGCCAGTCACTCAAGCTCTCCAAGCCCTGTTCTGCCCTGTCTGTAAAAGGGTGGGTAGTGGAGAGGGGAATAACTGCCTTCCCCGCCTCACAAGTGTTGTGGGGTGGAAGCGTCACAGTGGACACAGATCACATAGATGGGCAGTTGGTGAGGTTCTCATCCTTCTTTTGCTGCCCCTTTCTGTCTCCTTGCTCCTCTGTGTGGACTGAAGCTCCTGATCCAGTACTGGGCTTGGCATGACTATGGCTTAGCTTTACAAGACTTCCTGTGACTAAGGGGCAAGGGGCATCCTTGTGGGCAGGGGCCGGGTTCCCTGCTTCTGAAGTAGGCCTTCCTTTCAGGCCACAGCTTAGCCTGAGCAGAGCAGGAAGTCACTCCAGGCAGCAGTGCACTGTGGGAAATTCTGCTGGGGCCCTGCTAATAATGGCTTTCACCCTCTACCCATCTTGCAGTGGCATCCGGTTGACTGGAGATGGTGTAAAACAAACAGTTGGCAAATGGACTCCTGAAGAAAGGAATTCCATAAAGTCCACAAAACTAACAAGCGGACAGTGGGACCTGCTTTGCTAGTGGCATTTGGTGTGGCAGCGTGGCTCAACAACAGAGAAGCAAAGAAACTTAGATCGAGACTCCAGCCAATGACAGTCTGTGACACCCAAAGGAGCAGAATGCTGGGTGGATTCTGAGGAGAAACAAGGCTGGAAGGAGCCTGAGGAAACTGAAGTACTTGCTAGGGTTTTTTGTTTGTCTCTCTTCTGACTTACGAATTGGGTCTACAAAAAGGGCTCAATCATACCAGCTCCAAAACACTTTGTAGATGAATAAAACCATGGAAATGAGCTGTGAGGTTCCCATTTCCCCTATTCCTCATCTTTCTGGGGATGAGCAATGCATGCTATCTAAGATTCTCCCCCGCTTTAGCCTAAGGCAAGTAATTGATTCATGCTCAGAGTACTGTGTGTCCTTGCTGAATGTGTGTGTGTTGATTCTGAAACTGTGCTGTGAGCTTATCATTTTTTATGCTTCTTGAGGGAAGGATCGTATCTAATTTAAGATTTATAACTCCAATAGCATGAGCACTTATTCTGTCATTTATCTACTTATTCATACAAACATTTATTGGATTTACAAATCTGGACTGAAAATCTTCTTGGTAGCAAGGCATTTGGGAAGACTTTTGGAGAGATACAGAAGTGATGAAATCAGTTCCCTAAGTAAAAGAGATTAAAATTCAGTGGCACCATAGACATATGAAAAAATGCTCAACTTCACTTGAGAGAAAATTGAATTGGAGCTGCACAAGTGTTTCACTCAATGGACTAGAAAACCCATCAAAAGGATAACCCAATGTGTCGGTGAGGCTGTGGGAAGCAAGCAAGGGTTCCAGCTCTTGTGGTGGGAATAGAAAGAAGCATAGAAAAATCTCCAAAGATGGCAATGCAGAAATCTCTATTAAAATGGTGAATGCATGCAGCCTGTGCAGTCAGTTTGTAGAAATTTATTCTATGGATGTATGTGGCACACATATGAAATAATATAAAGTTGTGTGTTTTTATTTTACAGCACCGTCTATACTGGCAAGAGATTGTTAAAAACAACCAGCAATATGGAGCTGGTTCTCCACATGATGAAATACTTTGCAGCTGACCAAGATGTGGGAAAATCTGCAAGATCTATTTTTAAGTGAGAAAACCAAGTCCGAAGAAATTTTGTATAGTATGCTTTTTGTTGTAAAAGAGGGAAGAGAAAAATATACATTAATATTCGCTTGGGTTTGCATAAAGAAACTCCAGAAACATAGGAGAGGAAATAATGAAAATGTTTAAGAGAGGTGGCAGGGACATAATTTCAGGTGGGAATGAGGGCAACTCCCTTCCTATTGTTTTGATTTAAGAGCCATATGGATGCATAACCTCTTCAAAATGGAAAATAAATGGGTTTTAAAGCATTCATGGGGAAGATACACACACGTGCCAGTGGTATGTACAATACACATTGCCACCTTATTTTCTAATTATATTTAAAACTCCTTGAGGAATGAACTGCATAAAAGCAGTTTGAGATAGGCTGGGGATTTAGATCAGTGGTTTTGCCACTTGTCTCGCAAGCCCAAGGACCCGAGTTCGATCCTCAGTACCAAAAACTTGAAAACAACAACAACAACAACAACAAAATTTTGAGCTAATCTTGCAGGCAGCTTGTCCTTCCCAGTTTTTCCTATAAACCCTTCCTGGATTTATCTTCCCAAAATTCCCCTCTGGACAGATTGCCAGAAATGATCCCGTATGCTCGCAGCATCAAATCCAAACATCTCTATTTGGCTTTGAGGCTCTGCACTAACCCAATAATTTAAGGTCTATCACTGAGGACCCCAACAGGCATCATTTGCTCCCTTTGGGCCTCTGTGATGCCCGAGTCACTGTGCATCCTTAACTCTGCTTCTGCAGGGCCACTGTGGGCTCTCAGAGCTAAGGACAAAGGGACTACACACACACACACACACACTCTCTCACCCAGCCTGCTGGGATTGGTGGCACGCAGTTACACAAACCACACACATCTTCAGCTTTCTGGGTCTCACTAAGAAGAGGCTGCCTGGGTTGCAGCTGTCAGGAATGGTTCCATCCCAGTCCACCCCCTGCTTGGTGTTTTGAATGGGGTTTTAGGGACATGGAGCCCGATTCTCAGCCAGATTTCTGTTAACTCTTAATCACATCACAAGCACCCTACTTGAGACTAAGCTGAAATTCCAACATTACTGGGTATGCGTGAGGGGCACTGAGGAGGGCAGTCCTCTGTGGTGTCTACCTGCACGTGGGTTCCTGCCACCGCTACCTCCGTCACCACCCACTGGGGAAGAGCCAGGAGAAGACACGCGGTCTCCAAAGGACAAGAGGACAGTGTTTGTCCCTAGCCCCTTAGAGCCCCAGGCTGAGCACTAAGGAGCAAGGGACTGGAGGCTGTGCCCAGAAAGGGTCATCTCCACTAGGAAAGCCAGGAGTCACAAGGCACAGCTTAGAGGCTGTGAGGATACCACCTACCCACACCAGGGTGGATCACAGCATGGCTCAGGGACAGTGAGAATGGGGGTGGATTTGGGATTTTTTGAGGATTTTCAGTTTGAGTAGGGTAGCATGGAGAGAGCAGGACAAGAGGGGCCTCCCAAACTGCACAGCAGGGGGGCACCACTGTGGAATTATAAGACCAGCAGCTCTGAGCAGTGCCAGATGCCCACAGGAGTGTTCAGGGTCCCTGGGTGTGCGAGGGCCTCTGCAACAGGGTGACGGTGGAAGTAGGGACACAGTGGCAAGTGTCGGGGACGTGTGGTTATTTCTGTTAGTGTAACCTTGTCCATACCCCAAGCAGACAGGATGCCTTGAGAATTTCAGCTGACATCTGCTTTTCATGAGCAGCTCCTCATGGCTGCCCTGGGCCTTGATGTCACTGCTCATGAGCACACACTTTGAGTGACACAACTCTCAGCTAGTACTAGGAATGGCCGGGAGGTTTCATCCCGGGGGCTGACTCCTTCCCATCAACTCGTAGCAGTGGTTTGGGGGTCTTGCTTGCTGGGAGAGGACCGTAATCTACTGCAGATGTCTGCTGGAGCACGGAGTGGGAGGGTGCATTTTCTGTGGATTTGTCATCCTGGCTTTCACCTTATAGACAAGGAAACTGAGCCCTGGGGAAGGGAAGTGGTTTGTTCTTTACCAACCGAGAACCAGAAGCCAAGCCCCTTCTCTCTCTCTATTCTGGCCTCTCCATTCCTTTGTCAAATTCTTTCGTTTATAAATGAAAAAAGAAAGGATAATAAAAATAACAAATGATACCAAAATTTGATTTAGTCAAGAATTTTAACCTTTCCCCCCCTTCCCCCTCCCTTCTGCACAAGGAACCGAGTTTTTCACAAAATAGTAAACAGATTTGAGATATTCCTCTTTCTAACCCTCTGGCTCTCCACCTACCCTTTTCTGAGCGGAACTAGAGAGCCCAAGTAGTGGAAGAGTGAGTAGGGAAATGTTTGGATGGTGCACAAACCAAGTGAATCATCCAGAAACAACAGTGCCCATTACTAACCTTGTGGGCACCAAGATCCTTTCCTCCCCATCACTGCTTTTTGCTGAAGCCCCTTTCCCCATCATGGGCACATTCCACCCCATCCTGGCTCCCAGTCTGATTTGTGCAGCTGGGTTTATGAAGAAGCGGTGATTTTTAAGATTTCTCACCGGACACATCCCATAATGAATCACTGCGCTGAGGTGTACCTTTGTCTAGCATCCCACGTTTTTTCCACTAGCATTTTCAAAGGTAGTTGCACCCTCAAGATAACCATTTGAGATCCACTGGAGAGCAGACTTTGGGCCAGTGCATTTCCAGCATCTGAAAGAGATCTCAGGTTTGACCCTGACAGAAAGGGCACAGGCACTTAAAAGTTCAGCTGCTTTTCCAAGCCTTTATCCAAGACTCCAAGGCGAAACTCGAGGCCTGTTACTGTAATATCCGTAATATTAGCCCTAAGAGAAAAGGAACTGGAGGAAAAACACAGCAGTGTTTCGGAGTCAGTGGATGAAACGAGACAGGTTCTGACGGAAGACAAGGTATCTGAACGTGACATTTCTCGGAGACTGGCTGCTCCATGCATTCCAAAAATATTTTCTGAATTCTGACTGAGGGCCAGGAACTGGGGATTAAACAATAAATCAGCCATATCGCATGTTCTTCAACTCATGACAAGAGGAGGAGGCTAAACACGAGTGCGGACTCAGTACAGGGTGACAAACGCTAATGAAGATCAGGCCCAGTGGCTGATGGGAAGACTTGCAGAAGCAACTCGAAGGGACTTAACGCCCACTGTCGCTCAGGATACGCTTAGTGTGCACTGCCCTCCACGTGCACATGGGTGCATCTGGCTTCGTTGCCTTAATACACTGTCGGGCCACGTTTTCAAGGTACTTCTTTTCTGTACGGCGCCCGACTTGGAGTAATGCTTAATAAACAGTTAGATCTCAATTATTTATTAAGTGTATGTGGTGTAAGGCAAACAGTAGAGAAGGCTTACAATGGCGAATATATTCAAACACATTCATCCGCACATCCAAGGAGATTACAGTGCAGCAAGAGTAAAGGCGTAATGGGACAGGACCCTGTGCAAGAAAGGGTGGAAAATGGGGCAGCAGAGAAAGCTGGAGATGCAGACAGGCCAATGCCATGTTAGGGACCTTGAACTTTATCGTCTAGGTAAGAGGAAAAAAGCCCTACTGCTCATCAACTGGTAGAAATGACTGCTGGGAGGCTGTCTTAGTCACTTTCTCATCACTGGGACAAAATATTCAACACCTATAACTGAAAGGAGGGAAGCTTGTTTTGGGTCACATTCCAATGCAGAGTCAGCAGGCTGAAAGTCACAATGGACAGCAGAGGGGCCTGGCGGAGGACAGTTGCTCACAGTATGCGGGACAGGAAGCGGAGAGCAAAGGGAGGAGCTGGGGAGGGAGATAAACCTCCTCCGACCATACCCTGCCTGATAACAGCAAACTAGGTGTCCCACCCCCATAATGCAATCATCTTTCAGAAGCCTCACCTAGGAGTGCATAAGGCTTGGTGGGGAGGTTTGAAGATAAAAACCATAAGAGAAGTCTAGCAATTTTCATTTCTTTCTTCTGGGAGGCTTGAACCTCCATGTAAGTGGTATGACCTTCCTGCCCAAGAACCTTGTG